AGGGAAGATTCTCTCCATTCCTGTTTAGTTTGTTCGCCACAGTTTCCACCCGAGTAATGAACTCGGATACTCCTTCGGGCTCCTTCATTCTCATGTTTTCCAGTTCTCCCCTAAGGGTTTGAAGCCGAACTTGCTTCACGCGTTCATCTCCCTTTTTTTCTTTCTCGAGTATATCCCATGCCTCTTTTGAAGATTTAGCATTAGTTATCTTCTCAAAACCTGACTCGTCAACAGCTCGGTACAGCAAATACAGTGCTGCCTTGTCCTTTGCTCGAACAACCTTCAATGCATTCAGTTGGGCATTTGTATACCCCTCGGTAGTCACTGGTTCCTCGTGCCCATTCTCAACCACATCCCAGTTATCTTGGGAGCTGAGAAGGGCCTTCATCTGCAACTTCCAGTTATCGTAGTTGACATCTTTAGTCAACTTGGGTAGTGGAATGCCATTAGTTAAACCTTCCATCTCTCTTGAGTGTATACGCTCCACTCACACACCTCACAAGACTTTTTGACACTCTTCTCTCGGGCTGGGTACACTAGGTTGGCTCACACTCACCTCACGCACTCAAGCTCTGATGCCAATTTGTTAAGAACAAAAGGCATAAATTGGGAGCAAAGAAGCAGCTCTCACTGGTGAGAAATTGGAGTTATACAAACCCGACATGGCTTAGCTAAACCTGCTAGAGAAGCCGCAGGTTTAGTTTAGTTGGTATTGTAAGAGAAAAAAGCTTCTCCAAGTCTGTCAATTTTACAGGCAACAAATTCTTATTTTTTATTTATATATTTTTCTTTGTCCATAAGCTGTGTTGTACTATAAAGGAATAAAAGGCGGAAAAAATCAATTAATAAATAGTGTGAGAAAAGTAGAGTGAATTGGAAAACTGGTGCTGAAATAAGAACGGTTAGAGATAGATATTTTTTTTTCGTAGAAAAAAGATTATGACAGTTAGAGAGGAAGCGGTGAAGAGAAGATTTGACCAACTCGTTAGTAAATTGGGGGAGACTGCAAAGCAGGTAAACAAAGGTTTTGTCCTAACTAATGATTAAGGGTTACAAGGAACTAAAGAGGTTGTGCTGTGCTGTGTCTTAAGATTGTTGAGTAATAAAGAATGAAAGGGAGGCAAAGCAAAGCAGAGGTGAATGGGCAACGATTATTATGTTTGCCAACGCGCTCTTAGCTGGACTCTCTTTTACCTTCCCATATCTTCTTCTTAATTAATTAATATGCATTTTTTTTTTACTGTTATTATCTTGTTAATTCAAATATTAACAAAGTTTTATGCCAGACTCTGGATTCTTTAAGTATATTATTATTAAATCAAAGTTTTACAAAGTTTGATTGTATGTTTATAGTTTAAAATTAAGATTATTGGTTTAATTAGAATATGTATCATTTAGCTTGATCAAGTTGAATTGGCCTCTTCTAATCGCGCGTGATGGGTCCTAGGATTATCCTTGTGAGATGAAATCTGGGACGGTTACTTTTCAATAATTAAGGGATTATCCTCCTACTAATTATCACCCAACGATCTGAGACCACATCAATCAAATATTACACCTTCGCCTAATTGATAACATGATATTTCCATTAAATAAGTTATATTATATTATTAATATATAAGATATTCCCCAATTTTGAATATCCAAATCTTAGGCTTAATGATAAGAATTAAGCACATATTTAAGAGACATTAGATATCACTCTAATCCTAATTCATACTTAATATCTAAACTCTTCTCCAACTCAAGTGTCGGGTCTTTTGTAGTGCCCTCCATCGATAGAGTTGGAGTGCAAAGGATCGTTGTCCCCTCATTTGAGCCCTTACAAAACTAGGTAGAAACATTTGACGTCCATTGTCGGACCAAACTTAAACAATCCTCCGAAAACATATGGTTTATACCTAAAATCAAGTTATGAGTAAGAATGTCGTAACATCTATGACAATGTGAAACCTCAAAACCCTGCTTGTGGCACCATTCACAATGGAGCTCCTATAGTGCATGGAAGCTGTGTAGAAATAGAATGAAAAAGCCATGACATCCCTTTGCTAGCCAAATGAGGCACTACAAGCCCAACATGAAGTCGATGGGACCCACTACCAGCAAGAGCTCCAAACCCTAAGGAGGGATAACAATGACATTCATGCAGGCTTGAATGTCTCCATTATGAAGGAGTCCTAGTCCACCAGAGACACTCACATTTTTGCTCAAGATCCCTAACTCAATTAAGAAGGTTAGAGGCATTCTCAGATAGGCTCAATCCACCATACCCAAGAGGAACGTGATCAACCATTCATGGGTGGGATAATTGAAGTCCCCCTTCCCTAAGGATGGAAGCACATTTCCATGAAGGCGTATGACAATTCAACCTACCTAGATGAGCACCTCATCACCTACATAATGCATATGCGTCTTAACATACATAATGATGTAGTCCTATGTTGATGGAAGTGGTTGAAGAAGAAGATTGTTGCTCTCCTTCACTCTCCACCTTCACGTCCCAAGCTATCTCTTGAGGTCTTCAATTGCTGAAAAATGATGAGAAGAAGATGCTCCAATGGTGGAAGAAGCAACAAGGTAGGTTCGGTAGCTTTTTTAAGAAGCTAGAAGAGTAAGACACCAAGGCACAAAGGAGAAACTCCTTTGTGAAGGAACCTAGGTAGAGAAGGATTCTCCACAGTTTCTAAGGCTTTGGAAGAGAGAATTTTGAGAGAAAATTATAAGTTTATTCATCCAAAGTGGGAGAAAATGAGAGGTTTACAAATTTATAGAAGTAGATAGCTTATGGAGCAAGCTAACCTTAACCATGATTCAAGAGAACCATGGTTTGGTTGCTTGACCGGCCATCCTAGTTTAGGAGGCTTGTGGAGCAAGCTTCTATCTTAGCTTGCTTGGGAAGCAAGCTAAGTTAGAAGCTTGTAGCACAAGCTTCCCAAAGCTTCAAGGAAGAAGAGAAGCAATTCGACCAAGATTGAGCTAGGCGGCCTTAGGCTAGTTTGGCTCCTTAAATCCGTTCAAAAATGTTTAATTTGGTTTAGTTAAGTTCATCCAAAAATGATGAGACCTAGCTAAATCAAATCCTTGAAAAATTAGGAGCAAAACAAGTCTAATATGTAAAATTTTGCTTAGGCCCAATTCTGACCCAATTACTAGTCACACCCTCAAGCATTGCTAATTGTCACCCCACTTCTACTACTGAAAAATAGAAAAAGAGTGACCTTCAATACAAGGTTAAATGGAGTCAAAGTCTCCAAAGAACCTACCCTAGAAATAATATACAATGGTCTATAAAAATGAAATAAAGTGTCTCACAAATACAAAGGCAAAAAGTGACCTATACAATGAAAACTATATACAAGTTATATACAAAAGAACTATGCCTTCTCTTCATGATAAAGTGGTCCAAATTAACATAACCTTGGGCGAAAGCCCATTGGTCTTCAAGTTGTCCAATCCCTCCTAAATGCTCCTGGCCATAGCTATAGTGATTGGACCCTTGGCCCATGGTCCATCATATGTAAAGTGTTTCCCACTCTACTAGAAGACTTAGGCTCCGTTGGTACACCCAACTTGACCTGAGAAGCATACCGAGTCGTGCGACTATCAAGCACCTACTTAAGGTAGGATTTGAATAAGACGATTCTATTATTGAATAAGATGAACTCTTAGTTAAAAAAATATACGTTATATATTTATCATTTACGATCTCTAAATAAGAAATTGACTACTGTCGCC